TTGACTAACAATTATATTAATTATTAAAGCAATTAATAGGTATCTAGCTTTAAAAAGTTTTCAAATATATGAATTATACATAGTAGCATAGAATCAATTAGTAAAACAATTATATTAGGTAATTTAATTAATAATTTATTTTTTAAAATTATATTCTTTTTTAATAATGAATATTTTCTTAAAGTATATACATAGACTATAGTAATCAATATAAAATTAAAAGTACACACACACTTAATGTATAATATTAATAATTATGTATCGTTACCTTTTTTGATGTAATTATTATGGTAATTTATATACATATATATTTTTTTTTATACTTAATGTATAATATTATTGGCATGAAATAAATTATACTTATCTTAATATATAATTAATTTTTAATATAATTTTCTTATTTTTATTAAAGGTAACTATTCTGATAATTTTCCTTTCATTCTTTTGTGTAATTATTATGGTAATGTATTTAAATATTGGAAGAGATTAGAACAAATATTATAATTAATATAATTAATGAAATTGAGAAATATAAGATTTCTTCCATAGAAATATTTGTGGCAATTCCATTAAATTACAATTAATAAAATATGAATTATAATTAAAGAAATGAAATTATAAAATTAACAAAACATGAATATTTTTAATTTTTAAAATATACATACATACACTTATGCATTATAATAATCATACAAAATTTAAATGTTACTTTTTAAATTTTTAAATGTAATTTTTTAATTATAAATTATAATTAATGAAATTATATTATAGAACTTTCATATATACATATTAATAAATATTATGTGTATATACAATAAATTATACAATCATATAAGGAAATGCATTGAATTAGGGTTTAAATTTATTCATTCAAAATTTGGAATTTACATTTTTTTTATTGAAGTCTAAGTACAATTCTCTTAGTTATTAATTTATTATTCATATCTTTAGAATTATAATATATGAAATATAATTAGAAATAAATCAACTTAATTATGTGAATTTTTTCTATATATTTATCTAAATATGTAAATGATTAGAGATTATATTATACATACAAGATTTTAATTTTAATTTTGTATGTTATGAAAATAGATATTTGACCAAATATATAATAGTACAATTATATTATTATATTGTACATTTTAACATCTTTTCATTTTTTTTTAATATTTTTTGTTTTAAATTCATAATAACAAAAACAATTCGTGGAACGCACGGGTAAAACACTATATTTTTAAAAAATACAATTTGATAAATATAAAAAATTAATTAGTACAATATCATTTCTGTTTATAGTAATTAAAGAAAAAAATAAATAATTTAAATATGTGAACCAATGATTTCAAAATGAAATTAATATATAGTTTCAAATAAATATAGTATGATTAGATATACTTTAATTAGTTTTAATTTTATTAATGAAATGACTTTTCTTTATCACTTTTTGAAGGGAGACGGTGTGAGTTGCTGGAAAATATTTTAAAAATAAAAATACTTACTAATAAAAAATAATTTTAAAATATTTTTTACCCCTCATAACATGTGCAGATCTTATAATTTTTTTTTTGGGAACAATTTGATAAATATCATAAATTAATTAGTACAATATCATTTCTGTTTATAATAATTAATTAAAGAAAAAAAAGTAATTCAAATATGTGAACCAATGATTTCAAAATGAAATTAATATACAGTTACAAATAAATATAGCATGAATGCTACTAGCTCTATTACATTGTAGTATCTGTTCATATACTTTCTCAACCTACTGAAACACAAAGAGCTAATAATGCCTCAGTGCTTGAACTTACAACCTTCCAAATGGAAGTCCAACCCGGGTACCATTAGACCACATAGTCCTGGTATAGCATGATTAGATTTAATTTTCTTAATGAAATGATTTTTTTCTTTATCAATTTTTTATGGGTGACTAAGGGAGTGTTTGGGTTGCTGGAACATCTTTTAAAAATAAAAATAATTACTAATAAAAAATAATTTTAAAATATTATTTAACCCCTAAACATGAGAAAATTTAATATTTTAAAAAAAGATACAATTTGATAAATATCATAAATTAATTATTGCAATATCATTTATGTTTACAATGAGAATAATTAAAGAAAAAATAAATAATTCAAATATGTGAATCAATGATTTTAAAATGAAATTAATATACAGTTACAAATAAATATAGCATGATTAGATTTAATTTAATTAGTTTTAATTTCCTTAATAAAATGATTTTTCTTTATCAGTTTTTGATGGGAGACTAAGGGAGTGTTTGTGTTGCTGGAAAAAAATTTTAAAAATAAAAATAATTTTAAAATTTTTTTAACACATAAACATGTGAAAATTTTATATTTTAAAAAAGATACAACTTGATAAATATCATAAATTAATTATTGCAATATCATTTATGTTTACAATGCGAATAATTAAGAAAAAAAATAATTCAAATATGTGAACCAATGATTTCAAAATGAAATTAATCTATCTATACTATTAATAAAAGTAAAATCCTCCTTTTCAACATTTCCGCCCATATTAATATGAATATTAATTAATTAGTAAAAAATTAATAAAGCTTATTTGGTAACAATAATACTTCTAATTGAGTAATTGATTAATTGACTAAAATGAAAAAAGAAACTGGCATATCATTGTATTTTAATTAAAAATGAAACAAAAATTAAAAATTAGATGAAAATATTTCAATAATAATATTCTACATCATCAATAGTAAATGCATATTTTAAACAATATAAAGGTAAATTAAAAATATAACGAAAATATTTCAATAAAAATATTATACATCATCAATTAAAAATGGAACGAAAATTAGGTAAAAATATCACTTCATCTAATATTCTAATTGACTAATTGACTGAAAATAAAAAAGAATAATTGACTGAAAATGAATATGATATTACTAATTGACTGAAAATATAAAAGGATCACTGACTAATATTCTACCATTATATATTTTCACAAGAGTCACCCATCCAGATGGACTAAAGGTGTTAGCTCTAGACGAAGATGGACGAGATTGTGTTGCTACTACCAATTCGTCTACAAAGAGATTTCAATAATGTGTAAATACAATAGTTGATATTATATATATTTTTTTAAATGACAAAATTCCTATATATCTAGACAAAAAAAATATATCTTCCATATATACAAATGAATTAAGATAGCAATTTTTCCATATAAATTAGTGGCTGGAGAACGAGCACATTTTCCTAATTTATAAAAAAAATACTAAATGATGATAAATATAATTTTCAAAATTGCAGCACCGCATGCGTACATCTACAAATTATCTATTAATTTGAGCAATTATTTGCTCAAATTCAAGCAATGATAACATCAAAACACATAAATGATTCAAATCACATATTCAATTGCACTATATAATATTTGATGCTCTAATTTAAATAATTATATATCAATCCAAATATTCGTAATATATTACAACAAATCTATTCCGTGCATCGCACGGGCGCAAATACTAGTTATTAATAATGTCATAATTATTGCCCAAAATATCAACTATACTTTTTTAATATAATATGAATTTTATAATTATTACTTTTAAAAAAATAATTATATAATATTATTTTTAAAACTATTTTAATATAATTATAATTTTAATATTAAATACTAATATTAAACATTTAATTTTACGTATGTACCGTATATAGAAATATAGAAAAAGCTAGTACTAATAATATGGAGTAAATGCCATTAGGTATTAAATATATACCAAGGAAAGTACAACCTCCCACCGCTCTATCGGACCGGGGTGTAGGGGGCCTTTATGGTTGGGGTTCAGCCTTTTGGAAGAATGTATACCAAGGAGAGTGAATTATACCTCCCAAATATGGGAGTGGGCTTGCGTAACTCCCAAAATGTGAGTATGAGGCTCCCCTTTTATAGGACAACCTCATGCTCCATTTCTTTGCAAATTGCAAATGGGCAATGTGGAACGCCCCACATCACTCATTTAGTCATTTCTATAATTATATTATATTAATAAATTTATAAATATTAATAATAAATTATTATTTAAAAGTGATGTTATAGAACCTTTTAAAATTTTCCTCCTAAATCTTAATCTCTCAAGACTCCACTCCTAACACCTTTGGGTAACAAAGCAAACTTGCATCCACTTCAAAATAATATGTACGGAATAAAATATGTTTCCCTAAGAGCATCCCAAAAAGGATGATTTTGGGCCAAATTTTAAGAAAGTTGGGACGAGGTGGAAGAAAGAGGGGGAAGAGAGAGAGAGAGAGAGGGGGAGAGAGTTGCTCCAGCAAAAATAAGACTTTGCTGGTGAGTGGATCCCACAAGAGAGAAGGAGAGTTGCGCCTGTAAGTCTTTTTTATTTTCAGATTTTGTTTTTGTTTTTTTTTTCTCCCCTCCCATTTTTTCTTTTCTAAACACACTGTAAAATTTTTCCAAAATCTTCACACTATTGAGGATGCGCTAACATCTTAAAGAAACAATTTCTTATCAATAACCTACTATTGAGGATGCGCTAACATCTTAAAGAAACAATTTCTTATCAATAACCTACTATTGAGGATGCGCTAACATCTTAAAGAAACAATTTCTTATCAATAACCTACTATTGAGGATGCGCTAACATCTTAAAGAAACAATTTCTTATCAATAACCTATATACAGGAAGTTGGCTTAGGACTAATGGGTGATATCACATCAAATTTTGTTCCCACCTACTACTTAGCATTATTATTATTATTATTATTATTATATTATATTAGTATATTATTATTATTATTATATAATTACTACGTAAATAATAAGAGTGGAAGATGATGTTAGGTTGCCAGGTTGGTAAACGCGAAATCGATTTGACTTATCCAAGGACGCGGTTGAAAAAAGGAGTTACCGAAATGGAGTGTCGGCCGTAGACGTGGAATCTCAACTACTACTCTCTCAGATGAATATAGCCCGAATCATGTCATAAAGGGATCCTCCCTTTCCCTATATAAACCCCCTCTGTATCTCATTTCTCCTTGCCCATCGCCTCCAATACCTCCTCTACACCATATTCCCTGCACTCCAATCCTCTCTCTGTAAGTTCCCTCTCTCTACTCTCTCTATGTACATACGCGTAATTAGTGTCGGTGCATTTGCTTTGTCGTTAATAGTTCAGATCTGAGTGAGATTGCATCGGAACTGCTGCTGAGTTAGAATTTTAGTTTCCTTATAGTTGATAGTTTTTTTTTTTTTTTTATTTATTGATGTTGTTTGTTTAGATCTGCGATGTGTGTTGAGTTTTGTTTGTCATTGAAGTTATAGGCGGTGTAGATCTGTAGTTGTCGTGCTTGTCTTCAGCTAGATCTGCGATTTGGAGTTTATCTGCGAATGTATGCGTCCGTTTTGTCGGTTTTGTTTAGCGTGATACTTGCAGTCCATGAATCTGAGTTGAATCTCGTTTAATTAATCTGAGTAGCGTGATACTTGCTGTCCATTTGACGAAACTGAGTATATGTTCTGTTATGAATTATGATGTGTTTTTCAGAGCATGTCAGCGCATGTTAGTGTTAGGAGACTGAATTTTACTGTCTTATTTACTTGGATTGTGTTCTGCTCCATTTTGACGAACTTGAATATATATTCTGTTATGATGTGTGTGTTTTTTAGAGCATATCAGCGCCTGTTAGTGTTAGGAAATTGGATTGTGAACCGTTTTGCTTTAGGGTTGATGAAAGTTTCTGATCTGTTGTTGGAATTGTGTTTTGATTTGTGATCTTATCTGCAGCTCGGAAGATATGGAAACCTTCTTGTTCACATCCGAGTCTGTTAATGAGGGACACCCTGACAAGCTCTGCGACCAGGTCTCTGATGCTGTGCTAGATGCTTGCCTTGCTCAGGATCCTGAGAGCAAGGTTGCTTGTGAAACTTGCACCAAGACTAACATGGTGATGGTTTTTGGAGAGATCACAACCAAGGCGGAAATAGATTATGAGAAAATTGTGCGGGACACTTGCCGTGCAATTGGATTTGTGTCTGATGATGTTGGTTTGGATGCCGACAACTGCAAGGTCCTTGTTAACATTGAGCAGCAGAGTCCTGATATTGCCCAGGGTGTCCATGGTCATCTTACAAAGCGACCTGAGGATATTGGTGCTGGTGACCAGGGCCACATGTTTGGATATGCCACCGATGAGACCCCTGAATTGATGCCCCTCAGCCATGTCCTTGCAACCAAGCTTGGAGCTCGCCTCACCGAGGTCCGGAAGGATGGGACTTGCGCTTGGCTCAGACCTGATGGTAAAACTCAGGTCACTGTTGAGTACTACAATGACAATGGTGCCATGGTTCCTATCCGCGTACACACTGTTCTGATCTCTACTCAGCACGACGAGACTGTCACCAATGATGAAATTGCTCGTGATCTCAAGGAGCATGTCATCAAGCCTGTGATTCCCGAGAAGTACCTTGATGAGAAGACCATCTTTCACCTCAACCCATCAGGCCGATTTGTCATTGGTGGACCTCATGGTGATGCTGGGCTCACTGGCCGCAAGATCATTATTGACACATACGGTGGATGGGGTGCTCACGGAGGCGGTGCTTTCTCAGGGAAAGACCCTACCAAGGTGGACAGAAGTGGAGCTTATGTGGTGAGGCAAGCTGCCAAGAGCATTGTTGCCAGCGAGCTTGCTCGTAGGTGCATAGTGCAGGTGTCATACGCCATTGGTGTGCCTGAACCATTGTCCGTCTTCGTAGATACCTATGGAACCGGAAAGATTCCCGACAAGGAAATCCTCAAGATTGTGAAGGAGAGCTTTGATTTCAGGCCTGGTATGATCGCCATCAACCTTGACCTCAAGAGGGGTGGCAACAGCAGGTTCTTGAAGACCGCTGCTTATGGCCATTTCGGTAGGGATGACCCTGACTTCACATGGGAAGTGGTGAAGCCTCTCAAGTGGGACAAACCTCAAGCTTAAATTCATATTGTTGCTGATGCCGATGCCGATGCCGACTATTTAGCTTAATCCTTTGCCCCAATATGTTGCCTAATGGACAGGCCATGTGTTTAAATTTTCTCTTTCTTTTTCTTTTTCTTTTTTTTTTTTTTTTTGAATTTTTCCTTTTGTGATTTTAGTTTCTGGGGTGGGGTAGAGTTGCCATTTGTCCCATTTGTTATTCGTTTCTTGCTAAACGGTTATATACTATTGGTGTTAAATCATCATAACTATTACGAATATATAAAATGTGTTTTGAAATTTTACTTTCCGATTCTATAGGTTATTATAAGCAGCTAGCTTTTGAGTTCCGACTTGAAGAATGTTGTCGCTTGTAAGGCTCAACGGAGGGCTTTTATTATTGACAGAAGGCTTTTATTTTATTCTCTTCTACGTGTGAAGGTGAAGAGAACAGAAATTACATAATCTTTACTCCCAGCAAACACAATGTCAGGAAAACAAATCTTTTACTCGCTCAATAATGTCAACCAACAGAAGTTAAATGCCACTGGGAGGAGAATAAAAAATATTCTACGCGTCTACCGTAACTTTGTTTGTTGGCATCCTTTAATAGCTTTAACTTTGTAGTTGACTTTTAACCACTTATTAGTGTTCTATCCAACATATACTTTTTGAAATAATAAGAAATATCTTATTAGTGTTCCACCAAACATATACTTTTTGAAATAATAAGAAAGTGATGAATCCTAAATGTACACTTTATTTTTATTTTGAAAAAAAAAAAAAAAATCAAATAGGCTTCTGAACTTTACTCAAAAAATCAATTAGGCCATTAAAATTTCAAAAATTACAATTAAATCTATAAACATGTTACTCCGTATTTTTTAGCATTGAAGCCAACTGGTTGGTGACATGTGATTGCAGGTCATTATGGTTCCGATCAACTCGGACAAGCCTCCAACCAATTTTCAACAACAAAACACCTGCGGCTGAACGATCGCCGATCGCATTTGGAGAAGGAGACCAACTGGTCGCCTTCTTCGACGGTTGGAGAAGGTAGACCGACCGACGACCGAATGGTCGCTGGTTTTTTGTTGCCAGAAATCGATCGAAGGCTTGTCAGAATTGGTCGGAACTCTAATGACCTACAATCACAGGTCACCAACCGATTTTTGGACTTCAATACTCCAAAATAACATGTTTATGTGTTTAATTACAACTTTTAAAAGTTTAAAGATCTAATTGATTTTTTGAGTAAAGGTCGAAAACCTATTTAACCTTTTTTTTTTTTTTTTTTTTAATATGGCACTACTTGAAGATAACTAGTTGTTAATAATGTTGGATAGTCAACAACCACGACGGTCCACAAAATAAGATAGGATAGCCATGATTGTTTCTCCAAATTAGATGGTCCTTTTTGTCACTCTAGACATATGAGACAACCAAAGATAACATTAATACTCAATTGCACTATTTTGTTAATTTAAAATGTGCATATTTGACACTTTTTCTTTTATGATATAATAATCACTGGATTACTATTTTCCAAGAGAATTTTGTTTCCTTGAAATCAGTGAGTTTCATTCTTTTTTAGAGTGAAAATAACAAATTTTCATTTATCAACAAACTAGAATAAAGAAAAAGGGAAAACAAAACAACAACAACAACAACAATAATAATAATAATGAAAATGAAGACGTCTATGAAGCTTGTTCCTCAGAGTTGAATGCATCATAAAATGTAAACACAAGGAACTGTGCATTAAATACATAAAGAACATAAATGGGGACTTTAAAGCTCCAAAAATGCCTAGAAATGAGCTAAACGCAGGAATGCATTATCTACATATCTAGCAACTAAGCTGCAACTTTCCAAACTAAACTGTGATTAATCATGGCATCATATGAACACAGACCAGAAAACCAATCTTCTGCAACTCACAAGAAAGTCTGCAAGTTAGCCATGTTCATCGCTTCAGGGGTCCTGTAGTCCACCTTGCTATTAGCTCTTTCTTGGATAAAACCCCTCCCTCCAACTCAAAGACAAAGAAAGCCAATAACATCTTGAATGCTTCTGTACAAAACTTGGGTGGCAACTGAAGGAAATGACTTCACAGTTCTACATTAGCAATACTCTCTGCTTCTTCAGACTCGTTGCCAGTAGAACTAGGAGCAACTATCATCTGCATTTCCTGCTCCAATTCATAGATCTTATCTGTCATACCCTCTTTTCTGTATACATCAATCATGGTAGAGTATGTTATGGAATCGAGTTGGCATTGTTTGTCTTTCATTCTCTTGAAAACTCTCTCCATCTCCATTATATCCTCTGCCTTTGCACAAGCGTATAGAACAGCATTGTAGAAGGACGTGTTTTCAGGGATTTCCGATTTCCCAGCCAACTGAACAGTGCTAATTACCTTATGAAAAAGACCACCATTTGCATACCCTCTAATGAGACAGCAGAAGGTCTTGGTGTCGGTTTTCATCCCCTCAGTACGCATTTGATCAAAGGTGTACTCCATGTTCTTTGCATCACCCACATCAGCAAAAGCCTCGATTACATTGTTGTAGGTTGATGTTGTCCAGGGGAATGAAAGTTTACGCATGTACTCCATCACTGATGACATCTTATCATACATCCTCTTTTTCCCATAAGAGCCAATAAGAATATTGAATGTTCGCGTCTCTGGATCAATCCCAAAATCGCGAAACTTTTCATACCACTTCTCCATCATTTCAATCTGGCCCTTGTTGCCAAATAAGCTCAGGATGATATTCATGGTCCATATATCAGGTCTGCATGTTTCACTCTCAAGCATCCCCAAGAGCACCTTCTCCATCTCTTCATATCTCCCTGCCTTTCCATAACCACTCAAGACTATGTTTTGAGTGACTGTATTTGGAGTTATGGAACGTTCATCCATTTCTCGATAAAGGGACTCAACCAGATCAAACCGAGAACCATCAACACAGGCCTTTATCAATATACTATATGTATGAACATCAGGTTGACAAAGAGGCAGTGCAGTCATCTCTTGAAGAACCGCAAGCCCCTTGTCAATCAGATTGCTTCTACAGTATGCACCAACCAAGGCCGTGTAGAGCTCTGCTGTGGGTTCCAACCCCTCTTCAACCATTGTGTTAAATAGTTTCTGAGCTTGACTTGGCTGCCCACATCGTCCAAGAAGAACGAGAAGCCTCATGTATGCTCCTTGCTTTGGTTGATAAAAAGGTTGCTCCCTTAGCATCTCAAAAACCTTGAACCAAACAACAGATCCATCAGTCATCACTACATTGGAAAATAGCCCAAGAAGAAAATGCAGTAGCTTTACTCGCACACAAATTTCATCCACTTCTCACATGTTTGGCAAAGATTATTTCATAAGTATTACAATTTTTCTCACAAGTAACTCTTTAACCCGTAATACTACATTTTGATTTAAAAGTATATTACTTAGTAGTATTACACTTTTTTTTCATAAATAACTCTTAAACCCATAGTTAATACCCAAGAAATAAACACATTGCCATAATCTATAATCATAAATTTGGTAGCTCAATAATTGAAAAATTCAGATTAGCTCAAGAAGAAAATGGGAAAGAACATTTTTTTTTTTCAAAAGAACAAGTTCAAATTAAAACAAAGAAGCAATTACGAAAAAGGAACAAAATCCCACATTTGAATATTCACAAACAATTCATATGCACAGACCTGAAGAGCTTGGAACCACTGCTTATTGTGGATGCAGTCGGAGAGCTCTTCAGTGACAGTGTTGGCCCATGCCTTGGCTTTGCTCCTTTTATTCAATTTCTTCTTTATGTTCTTGATGGGAGTTCTTCTCTTGTCGGAGTCTGAAGTTTCAATAACTGCTGGGAATTCCCCTTGCTTCCAATGCCTTTTCTTCGGCGAAGCCACCGCAGAAGAAGAAGAAGAAGTAGCGCATCGGATAAAGAACGGCTGATGCCTGGCAGTGGCAATCCTGGTGGCGCCGGCGCCGGAGGAGGAGTCGGGTAGAGGAGATGGAAGGAGTGAGGATAGGAAGGATAGCGAGAACGACGTCGTCATTTCCCGGTACGAAGAAGCTGCAGAAAACCTCTCTCTTGGTCTTTTCGTGAGATTTATCACTCTCTCTTTGAAATGACTGGTTTACCCCCATCACCATGGAAACATATTTTCATAAATATTTTATTTTATTTTATATATAATAGGTAAAATTGGTTTAGTAAATCAAAAATATTTAATTGGTTTACAAAAAATTTAAGTTCCTGTTTGGTAAATGGTTGTTAAATGATAACTGTTAGCTGATTGGGTTAATTAGAGGGTATAATTAATTGATAATATTAGCTAATTGGGTTAATTAGATTGTATAACTAGTTGATAATATTAGCTAATTGTAGAAAGGTGTTTGGTAAATTAGCGGTTAGCTGATATCTGTTTGGTATAATTTCTTTTATCAAAAAGCTAATTGAAAAAATTATTTTGAGTAGCTTTTTGAATTTTAGCATTTTAAAATATAAAAAGCTAATTAACCAAACACTTATATTGATTTTTAAACCAAGTCAAACAACTAATACTGATCAAATAAGTCAAAATTGACCTATAGACCAATTATTTTATCAAACGGGGCCTAAAAGTAATTAAATGAAGCCACTTTAATCTTTAGTTTGAAAATATTTGGAATGAAAAGAGCACAAACATCAACACATTTTCTGTAAAAAGTGTAAACACATTCTATACACTTCATTTTGAGAAATCAATAATTAAAATCTTATTTCCTCAAAAAATAATTAAAATCTTATCATTACTAAAATTTTAAATTTACAATAATTATAAAATAAACTCTTCACTCTTAAAATTTTATAATAATTATAAAATTAACCTTCTATTTTTTACTAAAACCTTTAAATGAACATTATGAACGGCTGAAATCAGTCCTCACTTTCTACAAGACTACCATGTTCTCATCCTAGCCCTATATATATGACAACACTGAATGATGAGGTTACTATTTCATAGTTAATGTTTTGCAGTGTTCCACCAAGCGCAAGGAGCTTCCATACATTTGCAATGAAATACAACACAAGTACACACGGTCCAAATAACATCTCTAAGTAACATTTCAGCTCTTATGTAACTACACCTACCAAGATACAACAAAAATCAATTGAGTAATCTCTAAGCTCCATTCATGGAGGAACACCCACCTCGGTGCTTCTTCGCCTTATTTTGTACCTACGTTAGCTCGAACCGTACTTCAAAAGCTCCCACCGGAAAGGCTGGAACACGTAGAGGACCTCCGGTGAGCTTTTAAACAGCAAAGCTACGCAAACGCAGATGGCCGCGATTGCAACCATGGACAGCATTGCGGGTCTGTAAATCGCGAGCGATGTGCTGCAGCTTCCATACTGCAGCTTCTGCTCGCACCGCCTGCAACTTCTCGTGCTCGGTTTCGTCGTCACTAGCTTCTCCGTTTGGAAGCTCGATGCTTTCGGTTTCTGGCTCGTGTCTCCTGGGATATCTAGGACGACATGAACGTTAGCTGGTTTTGGGTCGGTTTTCTTCTGGATTAGATGGATGTACGAATAGTGGCCTCGCAAGGATGCGTAGTCGTTGGGCGTTAATCCTGTACTGTCGCGTGCGTTCTTCCACGCTTGAACTCCAACCTGAAAGAAGAACAGTCATCGCTATTTAGCATTTCAAGAAAGGGGGAATTACACTTCTAGTTACTTTTTGGGTGACGGGAAACCTGCAATTACTATTCGAGGGTGTGCACTGAGTAAACCATGTCTAGTAATCCTAGCCGAAAAAGAACCACAAGGAGGTAAACCAGCCTAGGTTACCCATAGCTGATTGGCTCATACCAAGAAAGCCAATAAGCTGCTCCCACTGGGAGTCGAACTTAAAACTTTGTGGTTACCAAACCAACAACCTGACCGGCTGGGGTTTCCCCAAACATAGTATTCTTAATTTCACTAGATGCAAACCAACATGAAAGAAGAACAAGAGGCAGTCACAGTTTTTTTTTTTTTTTTTTTTTTTTTGCATATAGATGCACCTGACGACACCCAGGCCGCCAGTACTAGAAAGCAGAAGTGTATATATCAGTGTTGCAAAAATCGCGCCTAGGCGCCGATTAGGCGGTCGGCCTCCTAAGCGCTCTAGGCGCCTAGCGATATTTTCAACATTGGTATATATCAATACAGAAATATTACAGGAGAAAAATTACCTGTCCCGGGTCATTGATTAAGGCGTCCAACAAATTCTCCAAGCCTTTCTGACTGGCTACAATGTGGAGCGGAGTCAAGCCCCCGATTACTATTGCATCTGGTCTAAATATATAGTGGCCACCATGTTGTGTTTTTACAAGCTCCGAATTGTCCGGTCCTTTATCCGGACAGTATTGTAGGAGAGCCTCTACCATTCGTCTGCAGTTTCCACGTACAGCCTGATGGAGGAGGCCGATATCCTGCAATGCCATCTCGAGGGACGAGTGTTCTCCAGCATCCACGATTCCACCAAACAGAATGTCCAAAAGCTTCTTAACCACAGCACACCAGTCACGGTCAACTGAGAACTCTATAAGCCACCTAAACCGGTCAAAAGGGAAATGGCTCGAGTTGGAACCCGATCTAAATTTCAAGTGACTTCTATGAAGGAGCCAGCCCATATCATGTATAAAGTCCAAAGCTCGGTTTCTGGCTTCTAATTTTTCGGGTTCTTCTTGGGAGTCGGAAGCAGTTTCTGCAACGTCAATGCTGCTCTCTAGTGTACAGATTTCGGAACACACATCCTCCTCCGCAACTATAAACGGGAAGAAACTGCCGCTGAGACCGTGATCCTCGACCTACCCAGAAACAAGAATAGGAAGATAAGATTAAAGATTTCTATTTTCTAGACAATAAAGGAGGAAATATCGTTACCTCAATGAATCCCCGGCCCGTGACATTAGGTATACTGCAGGGAAAGCTAAGGGACTGGATCTCGTTATGATCGTTCTGATCCACTAATGAATCAGCTTCCACCATATCACCACAATTTCCCTGGACTAGATATTTCCCGTCTAGTGCACATAGAAATCTAAAAGAATGGAAGAGTATAAGTAGTTGGTACATTAACCAAAGATACTCCATTTAACAAACGAAGAACCAAAACGTCAAATACCCATATTGGCTACCTTGCGGTGGACCGAGACAAGTTGAAGCCTTTAACTAAAAACTGAGCACCCTTGGAGACGGGAACAGCAATTGGTTTGACACTCGATATCCTGCAGTTGTTGTAGCCTTTAACCGGTAAAGGTGTGTCTAAAACAACCTGACCTGTATAGAAGAAAATCGACAATGTTAAAGTGTAACTGTCAACAATGAAATGTGTGTGTGTGTGTATTCAAAGTGATAATTGGAATATAGATGGCGACAAAGAGAGAAAAAGAGACCATTAAATACGAAAGCTACACGGTTTTGCACTCGAGTATATATCCATCCTGTTTTCCAAAATGAATCAGAAGATGAATCAAGGAGCTTCCTTAAACTAGAGCTAAGGTCACAGCAAAGCTGCAAAACAGAAATAATGTATAAATTTTCTGCAATTGCATACAAAGTTTATCTACAAAACTAAGCATGACAATCATATTTTTGCACGAGTGTATTCCACCCAGACGAATGAATTTGCAGATTCAATTTGCACCCGGAGATTAGCTATAAATGTTTCTGAAAATGAAAAAGAACATACCTCCTCCCATATGGATTTATCCATCCGCAGATATATTGTCAGTATGACACAGCCAGGTCTAATATAGCTTTCAATTTCAGTAGGGCTGTTTGACAACCAATCGATAATCTACAAGGAAAAATAATTATAACAACAACAAAAACTATGACAGAATTAACTTGCAATGACATTTCTAAAAGATTTTCAACAACAGCATGGGTTGTTACCTGTTTCCGCATGGCAATAGGGAAATCACTAGGATCTTTCCCGAACAGTTTGAATACAATCCGATCAGTGCGGCTCTAAAAAATCAATTAAAACTCAAAATGAGAAGGGGAAAATTGTTCTAGGACATGTAACAGGTCACATATTCACAATCTAAAACATTAGGAAATTTTTCTAGAATAGTTTGCTTTAGGTAACATCAAAATTGATATTCAGATTCACATTATATATACCTGAGCCTCTCCACTGGAATTAGATGGTGAGAAGCTCGATGTGGAAGCAGAGTTCCCACTTGTACGTGTGGAGGTTGACTTATGAGGGTCTTGGCAAACCCATAAAGGACAAGCAGAAGATATATTTCCAGGATTTTGACAGTGGTCGGAACTCTTTAGTACACCCATGCAGTCTTGAGAGTCATCATACACATTATTCAAATCAATGTTATGCAATTTTGTCTGTCTGACCAAATTATCGGTGGAAATTGCTTTGAAAGTTGTGCAATCTTTCCTAGGAAATATAAGCTCGGGCTGTGTAGAAGGATTTTGAGAAACTCCAGGCTCAGCATTAACTGCACCCATACTCTTCCCTAACACTTCTGGTGTAGGTAGATTGGCAGAATTCCCTACCAACTGATGAGAGTCCTGCAAATAATACAATCAGAAATTGAAGCAAAGAATTACAGTTTCTTTTGGACTTTGAATCAGGTTTGGCACCTTTTCTGGAGATCCAGCAGATGTGCCCGCATTATGCAGATCCTGAGATATAGGTAATGGCCCAGACGGGTTCCTTTCATCATTTGAGCCAGCCATACTGGCTAGGTTTCTCAATAGATGAGACAGAATATCCTGATCCTTCGTTTGGTCAGAGCTATTTGTTGCACCTAACAAAGAGGCAATGCTATTTAGTTAATGATCCTCCATGTCACAAACACCAACGTTTAGCAACAAAATATTAGTTAACATATGGTTCCAAGTTTGACTCCCAGTGGGAGCAGCCTATTGGCCTTCTTGGTTTGAGCCAGTCAGCTATGGGCAACAAGATCACCATCTTATTTAGAATTTGAAACGAAGAGGGGCACACTCTACCAAAATAAATGCCAGTGTATGCACATTGAACAAAAGTTCCATGAAAAGCAGCTTTATACGTATATTCTATCTTGTAATTCATGATAAACATACTAGTATCACTTAGAGAGTATAGATAATTGAGTTGCAAAATCATTAAAAAAATTGCAATGAAAAGCACATTGGCCAATGAATGTTACATCATAAGAGTGAGAAGTAAACACGGTAAGGAATGTGTAGCTAGATTAAGTGATTAACACTTACCATGCATATTTGCTAGTATCTTTAGCAGACTAATTAATAAATAATTAGTTCCCCGTTCATCATTCATGGGGGCTCCATTAGGTACATTTTCTGGATGTGTCTTTCTTCTCCGACTGTTGTGTCCAGCTAAGCGCCTACGACAACTTCGTTTCCCCTCATCAAACTCTTGAAGAACATGAAATCTGGCCAATCGTAGTGAAATAATGATCTTTATGACTATATCACGCCCAACCATCTTATAGACACACAACAAAATTCTTTAAAGGCAATTTCTAAAGGAGAACTGACCTGCTACACTGCTGACAGAATCGCTGCATGGCATTTCCCACCAAAGCTTTGGTGGCCTTAGAATGCACTTCACACACTTTATGTCTCCGGTGATAATCTTTAGAATTGGTCAAGTCCATTTGACAGTCCTCCACTTGGCAAACCGCACGGTTAGATGATCCGCCTGCAACTTTTGCCTTTTTCCCGTTCTTTCTTTCCCCCTTTTCCATCTCCCCTTCGGTGATGGGGAACACTTGACCACCGAGCTTTAGATTAAGCGAAGCACATTCATTAAGGTCTTCCTGCTCAACAACAACTAACCTCCTTCGCTTCTCCATTTCCTTCTTCCCTTTCTCATTTAACACTACTACTTCATCAGAACCATTGGGAACTCCATTATTCGCCGGAATCTGAGATTCATCAGGGAATAACTGTCTACTTCTACAATCTGATGGGATGCAATTCATGGGAACTGCCGAGAACAGATCACCATCCCATTTCCAATCATTCAAGTCCCACTCCATACTCCTTTTTCCTACTGCCTTTAAATCTGGAATAACAGGGCCATACAAATGATGACCCTTCCCTCCAATCCTAGATTCCATCGATCAACACTTCTACCAGGTAAATAGCCACAAATCCACAACTTTTCCTCAATAATAAAACCAGATAAACAAACCCAATAGACCACAAGACAAAATTCCCCCAAAAAAATGAAAAAAGGTTACAATACCATCAAATGGGAAATAGAACAAAACAAGAAACCCAAAATCACTCAAAGATCAAATTTTTTTACAAAGCCCATACAGGAACTGATCCAATTGAGCTGAAATTACCTCCTAATCAACCCAAAAACAACCCTAAAAATTGAAGAACACCGCACCGACACATCCATGGAACCAAACAAGAGCTCTACACGTACCCAAAATTTATTCTGATTTAGCTCAACTACATTTTCCCCAAGGCCAAACCTTCTTCAAGCTCTAAAAACTACCCATAAAGCTTCTGCTTTTCGAACACTGTAGATGTACGGACAACAGTGTCTCTGTATCTACGCAATTTATTCCGCTCTGTATTTAATTTTACTTGGCTTCAAGCGGACAAGCTCAGTAATTGTAGGAGACGACAACAAACCAAAAAAAAAAAAAAAACCAAAAAAAAAAACCCAAAAAATTAGAAGATAAGAAGAGACCAAAAAACCTTGCCGAAGCAGTCGGTACCGAGATTTGATCGGAAAACGTGTAGCGCTCCACGAAAGATCGCCGGCGATATAGAAATTACAGACAACCCAACTAAAAAAATGTTAGAGAGAGAAAATCCAAGAATGTTTCTTTCTTTTTAATTAAAATAAATATTTATATATGTATGCACATATACGTATTGGTAGTTGTAATTGTACCGGTCGATACGTTAATTTTTGTTTGTAAAAAAAAGAAAATTTACAAATTTATAGTCAATATTTTAAGATGTATATTGAGTAAATTTTATCTTATAATCTAATAAAAGATCACAAAAAATAAATTAACTATCAATAAATTACTCACACTAAAAATCAAATTTGTAATATTATTGTTAATAATCTTAATCTTGACAAACTATTACATTAATTTTAATATTCTTATTACCATATTATTTACTTCGCCACAGTGTGAACGCGGTAAAATAGTAAAAGGGCATAGGAAAATGGAAAGCCGACAGCGACATGATGAAAATAAAATAAAAATTTGATTAATTAACAACAAATTAATTATTTTATCATCAAAAGTACTATGATTAATGGTTGGAGTTGAAATGTGGAAGTACTTCCTATATAATATTAATTTATTGTACAATAATAATTAATGTCTCTCTATGATACCTATCATAGATTCATAGGACTAGTCAATGTGGGAAAGATTATTCTTTGTAATTATTGAATTTTGATAAATATTTATTTTAATCTTGAAAATATTTATAGGGAAATTTTCGTAATTATTAAATTTTGATAAATATTTATTTTAATTTTGGAAATATTTTGTAAATTGATATTTTATATTTTGTCAAATATACATAAAGAAGAGTACAAATGGACTCTTTAATTGAAAAAACTTACACTAAAATTCTTTAAATTAGTAAAATAATGTAATTAGATTATATTATTAACTATTTAATACATTATTATTGGTGTGGCACTAAGAGCATCTCATACATTAAATTATACTAAATATGATCATTTTAATCACAAATTATATTTTATATTGAACTAATTAATGGGTTGGAGATAAACAAAATTTTGTGTAAATGGATTGGTGATAAATAAAATTTTGTGTGAGAATATTATTTTTGATGTGACATTTGGTGAAATTTTTTTGTGTTTTGGTGTAAGTTGTGTTGGAGATGATCTAACTATGCTAACACATGGTATCATATATTTTTGTAGATCATATATGTACAATTATTTTAGTTTTTATTTTTAAAAAATTGTAAAAACTATTTTTATTTTACAATTTATTATTTTTAAAATTTATATTTCATTTTTTTTTTTACTTTTTTAAAAACATCCACCGGTCATTAAGTCGATGTTCTTTGACTATTTCCATCTATAGACAACCAATGTGGCTTTTCCGATCAATTTTTTAGAAAATTATTTTACATGTAATCAGCTATCAGATAACAGCTAATTTACCAAACATCTTTCTACAATCAGTTAATGATATCAACTAGTTAAACTCACTAACTCAATCAGCTAACTGTTATAGCTTACAATTATTTACCGAAGACTTCCTAAATTGAACAGTCATAACGGTTTACAATAATTTTTAATTGGTTTAGTATCCATTTATTACAAATTATTACTCCGTATAATTATTTTGACAATAATTTAATTTAATTTAATTTGTAGCTCGTCGAAACTCGAAATTGTTACTGCAAATATAGTTAAATAATAAAGAAAGTAAAATTGAAATGTCCCATGTAATACGAGTTACTTTAGCTAAGTACCCTTTGATTTCGGAGTTTAGAAAAGTAAAACTGAGCAATCAAACACACACACAAGTGAATTAAAAACCAACTTTCTAAAAGTTTAGTTTGACTTTTACCAATTCACGAACCCTATTTGTAATGGGTGTGGTTAAATAAATAAAGTTTTGAATAAAAAATAAAAGACTTTTTGTCACTGCGCACAAAGGAACCTCTCAATCCATTGGTGAGATTCAATCTTTGATCTCTTGTAATGAATTTCATATTTGCGATCAATTGAGCTGTCCATATAGTCATTATTAGTTCAAATATTGTCAATATTATCTCTTGGTCAAGCTTGTCACATTGAATTTTTATAGTATGGTTACCTTATCTTTTTGTGTAGTTTGTAAATTATTACACATTAACAGAATTTATCTAATGCATATTCTCAAATAGTGAAAAAAATAATAATAAATTTTGACATATCTGGGTATATGTTCTTCGAATAAGTTTTTTTTTTTTTTTTTTTTTTTTTTTTTTTTGGTGAGGAGAGACACCTTCAATCTCTATTTGTAACTGTGCATTGAGTAAATTTTACTTCTGAATTTAAAAAATATATTGGTATAATTTATAATCCAATTCTAATATGAGAATCATATTCCACACACTCGACCACCCCTTTTGAAGTCACAGTGAACAGCCTAGTATATGCCATTCTGATATTTTTTGACGATTTTTCATCTATGTTCCTTCCTTTTAGTAAGATGCCAAAATTTCTCCACTTCTTAATTACTCTTTTTATTTTTTCAATCTAATTTCGTAATTTAGTCTTAATACGTAATTGTTTTATTTTGTGATATAATATATGGAGATAAACAAATTAAATTATAAATATTATGTCAACCATAGAAGATGTTCAATTCCCCTAGACGAAGAATCATCAGCATGATGCTCCAATTAAGAATATTTAATGTACGTTACATTAACTTTTTAGATATTAGTTTTTTTTTTTTTTTTAAGTCTTTTTAAAAAATTATTATGTGATATTTGTAGCTAGAAAGTAGAAACGTGTAAAATTGTAGATATATTTCTGATATATAAGATTGAAATTCCACTTTATTTTATATGATATTTTTTCATCATGAAAAATACAATTGTCATACGAGAAAAAGGGAAAAAGGTGAAAAAGAAAAACAGAAAGAAGAATTATAGATATGATAGGATAAGGAGTAAGTTGAATGGTGCATTGTACCTAGCTACACTGTTCATATCATATAAAAAGACATGAACATATAAAGTATGATCTCACTTATAGTTCGAGCTGGAAAAAAGTTTTAATTTATTTCAATACAATAATGATCTCGAGCATTGTAAATAAAGCGATATACATGAAAAAAAAAAAAAAAATCTCTCGAATAAGATCAAATAGTAGTTCGAATTACTTTTCATTGAAATTTAATACGTAATTATTTAGTATCGAATCCAACTTACGTTATATTGTGTGTATATAGGAGATGAAGATGGAGATTGATGGAGAGGGATGGACCACAAGTTAATAGCGACCTTACATTAAGTTAGTGAACCATGTTGTAACATTGCACACATTTTCGTCTGGCACTTGTATTGTCCTAGTTTTGTGTGGGTTCTCTTTTTCTTTCCATTTAACTAATTTTGTGTCACTATTTTTAGGTATATACCGTATTGCTTTGGTATTCTTTGTTGTATTCCTACTTTTTTATTTGGGCCGGGTGACGAAAGAAATCAGCAATAGTATCTGAAGGTGTGCACTTATATATAATATAGTATGCAACCAAATAAGATATGTAACTGCACTAGAAAGACCTTCTAACTTGACAAAGAATATTTTTGATGGAATTAATTAAACCGGGGGTCCGACTTAACTAACCCGAATGAGAATATGAATAATAAAGAAATGGTACGAGGGATATCGTAAAGGTCGCGGTGGACCGTATATTGTATTAGATGCTGTGGAATTGGCTATTACAATGATTCTTCAGTACAAAGTGTGTCCGTAAAGTAGATCGTGTCCTAACTGGACAAGGTGGGGGGTTTTTATACGACCCCCGCCCCTAACCGCCACCCCCTAAAGCGGGGGGTGGTTAGATCCGAGCTGACCGCGCCCGGTCTCGCGACCGGGCCGTGCTGGGGGGCTAGGCCGAGCCCATTTGGAGGTCGGCCCGGCCTCCTGGAGAGGCCGGCCCGGCCTCCGACGTGGCCCGTGCGGGGCCACGTGGCGAGGCCCCGTCCGGGGCGGGTACGCGGCGCCGCCCCGGGACCCGTTCTTGTCCGCGCTCCCGGGTCGATTCCTAATATATCCGTCATCAGTCCCCCACTCTCCGAGCTGCGAGTAATCGTCAGTGAAGGAGAGTAGACGCTCTGGCCGACCTCCAAAAATGCCGACCCCGAGACGCCCGCGTCCCTGCACTATAGTTGCCGTCCAAGTGTACTTCTCGCGATAATGATGAGAAAATTCCCTCCGGAATATGACTCCTTCATCTGTTAGGACACATACACAGTAGAGTCCTCTTAGGTCTTGGTCATCTTCTCCAAGTCAACCAATCACATCCCCCCCTTTTCAACCAATCACATCCCTCTTTTCATCTTTCCCCCCCTTTTTTGCATTTTGAATTTTAAAATTCCCCCTCTTCCTATCTCCCCCTCTTCTATATAAACCCCTTCTCCCCTCTCATTCTACACTTTCACCATCCCAACATCACACCCCTCTCCCCCAAAATTCCGGCGAGCCCCCCCACCGGATTCCGGCGACACCTCCGGCGAGCCACCACCGGATTCCGACGAGTTCGCGGCAACAAGCTCCGGCCGACCTCCACCTACCCCGTCGCCGAGCCCCGTAGGCCCGAGCGTGGTACATCCCTCTCTTCTCCCTCTTCCTCTTTTTTTTTTTTTTTTTTTTTTTTTGGTGTCGGGCTGTTCCGGCGACGCCGCTGCCCGCGCCCCGGTGCTGGGCTGTTCCGGCGGCGCCATTGCCCGCGCCCCGGTGCTGGGCCGCTCCGGCGGCGCTGCTGCCCTGTCGTGGTCGCGCCACGGCGACGGGCTGCTCCGTCGTGGTGGCGCTGTCCGGCCACTGCCACGGGGGCGGCTCGCCAGCCACGCTCCCGTGGTCCCCGGCCGACCTCCCGGGCTCAGGCCCCAGCGAGGTCGTGCCGGCCTCGGGTCGGCCGGCCTGCCCTGTTGAGGCCGGGCCGACCCCGTTCGCCGAGGCCCTGCCGGCCCGCTGCTCGGCCTAGGGCCGAGGTCCTCCACCTTGCCCCCTTTTTTTTTTTTTTTTTTTTTTGAACACGCCGCCCATCACGGCGCCGGTGCGCCGGCGTCGTCGCCACGGGGTGGGCCTACAGGCCGCACC